TTTCCACAACCAAGTTATGTATTTTACTTGCACATTTTTATATAAGGTAAATTTTTGTTTATACCTTATTTTTCACGTAAAAGATGCAATAAAAAACAAAAATCAGGATTGACAATACAAATATAAAATACCTATTTTAAAATTACTTTCTACGACATGTACTAGAAAAGTAGGGAGGGACAAACACATAAGAAAAATGAGAATTTTACTTTAGAATGACTTTAGAGCATCTCCAATGCAATTATGTCAAAGATGTACACGTGGCAGAGATACAAGTAAAAGATCAATTAATACTCCGTAGAAAAAAACTCACATTCTTTTCGTGGGGTAATAAATATTCCGTTATTTTTATTCACATAATCAAACTCATCATTTAGATTTTGACATTCTGCTTGACATTGTGAATAAAAAGTATTATGTATTAAAAAATGATTATGCCATTAAAAGAAAGTGATAAACTTTCTATTAATTATTTTGTTACGTAATACGAAGTGTCTTTCAATGGGAGGTGTGCACTGTTGACAATTTACGTAGGGATATGTTTGGTACAACTTGTTAAAAGTTACTTTTGTGAGTTTTTAGTACATGTTATCTTTTTAGTAACTGTTTGATAAAAAATTGATTGTTTGATTTAGTCATGTTTGGTATACAAGCTGTCGGCACTAATTTATTCTAAAAGCTATAGACTTTTCTCAGATGTTACTTCATGTAATATCTAAACATTGTTTTTTTTAAAAGCACTTAAAAATTATCATGTCAAATATACAATTAGAAGTTTTAGAGACATTTTAAATAGTACAAAAACTAGAAGACGAACATTTGTTTCTGAAAGAAAGAAGACACACACTTATGTCTGCCAAAGATGCACTAAATTACGTCTTACTCCGTATTACACTTTATACACTTAATAATTAATTAATTAACAAATACTCCATCCGGTTCTTATTCATCTTTACATTTTTCTTTTTTGGAAGTGTCATATTAAACATTACACTTCCTTATTTGACAAATAAATCTACACCAAACAGTGCAAAACAATGCCGAACAGTGTTAAACAACGTCAAACAGTGTACTCTATAATAAGGGCTCGTTTGGTAGTTTACACGTCAAATCTTTGCACGCGAAGTGATTACATGTGAAATAGATTATATTGTTTGGCTTGATGTGTAATTTATTTTTAAATTGCACACAAAGTTGTTGCAGTGCTACATAAAAGATATGCAAAATAATATTTTATCATCCTTCCCCGCATAAAATATTTTACATGATACAGTGTGAAATGTTTTAAAAAGGTGACCTACATTTTACTTCAAATAATCAAACCAAACAGTATAAATATTTCACATCCTTACATTTCGTATGTAAAGTCATTATTTTACATCCTACCAAACGCCTCTAAAGTCAAATTTATTACCTGATGAATAAGAACTGGAGCGAGTATGTCATGTATGGGGGTGTTTGGATCTGATTCTCAAAACTGTTTCTGCTCCTTCAGGAAGCAGAGCAGAAGCTGTAGTGTTTGGGTGAAATTCCAGAAGCACTTTTGGAGCTCTAGTTTACTCTGAGAATCAGTTTTGTAGATGTTGGGGGTACCAGCTTCTGAAAGGAAGGAGAATCACTTCCAAACACCCCATATTACCTAATGATGACTGAATCCAGCCGTCAACGGCTACATGCCTACAAACCCTAACTCTGACTAAAACTAATTCTCTACAAGGCATTTGCAATTCGTTTCCGTCCCCCAAAGAAAATCCAGCCGGCAATGGAATCATTTGCCGTTGGTGGAAACACTCTTTCTATTGCACTCTTCTCCGACGTTTCCAATTCTAGGTATGTCTCTTTCTTTCTCCTCCAAAAGTTCTGAATTAGCTGATAAAATTAACTGCTCTTAAGCTAAATTTCAACGCTTTATGCTCCAACTTAAAGTTGTTATGTGATGATATTCTAACGTTTTGGGGACTACGCAACTAGCCATATTGAGGATTTGAAAATTGGTGAAAGATTGCGTTTTTTCTTCATTGCTTTGTTAAAGGCCGTTTATCAGTTAGAATGTGGCTCTCATGGGGTTCCTGTATATCATTTACTTCCTTCATTTCTAATCCATATATGTGTATCATAACGTTTGACTCAGTTCAATAAACAAACGATGAAAGAATGGTTAGCTCAACCAATATTTGATGTTAGAACCTTTGGGATGTATATAATAAGTACATGCTAGTTTTCCTGTCAGATTAAATAGTCAGATTAGTAGTGGTTTCTAAATTTTAAAAAGCCCAAAAAGCAACCAGATTTTTTTTTTGTTTTTAGATTTGTGGATCTGAAAACCATTTGGCTTTCAGATTATGCCTCAAAATATGATGGGTTAAAATAGCTGAAAGTAACTATTTTCTGTAAAATACCTCTCCTGGTAAATAATCCAGTGTGGTTTATCCTAAAGAACAGTTAAGAAAAAACATTTTTTTTTTTCATTTCTCACAAAAACCTGGTTAAAGGCAGAATGTGCCCCGGTGGTATTCACATCAATATTTTCACTGTCGTTCTCAGTTAAAAAGTAGAGTTCATAACCAATTTGGTCCCTCAACTATGGACTATTACTAGGCTTGGCTTTCATCACTCATTCTGGCAGTCGACTATACAATCTAGACTCAATTTATTCCCATCCATATTTTGTTCTACTAAAGAAGGGTATTTTCATATCAAGTCCGAATTGGGTCTATAGGTAGTGAATGGACAAAAGTACCCGTATTGTTATGAATCAAATATGTGTGGGGCTCAAATTGTGTTGTTTCATAGTCAATGACCAAGTTGTGTCCAATAAATAAGTGAGACCCAAACTGACTAATAGTGAACACTGAACAGGAGTTAAATCAGGTATTAACTGTAAAAAGTATGCCAAAAGTTTCAATTTGATTTTACATACTGTGTTTTTTTAGAGAACTACTGGAATCTATGCAAGCTGGAACATTAGAGCCAGAAGTAGCACTACTAAATGCATCACTTGTGAGTACATCCCCCCCACTCGTTATTAACCTTTTTGTACTGTATTTTTTCATCGCTACTTCTTGGGCTCTGATCACTTTGAACACCATCAATAGATTCCAGACGTATTTCCCCTTTTGGCAGCTGCACATAAAACACTTGTGTCAAAGTCACGTGAATCTCTTACCACACGAACTCTTCATTCTGAACTTGTGTATAACTACTCTGGATCTAAGCATGTAAGAAAGTTTTTGAACTTTTTTATGGAACAGTTTATTTTTCTGGATTCATTGTTTTTTTTTTTTTTTGGATATTTCTGGTCTCCATTAGATATCAGAATCCTTAAAAAGATGTGGCATCTCAGACAACTCAAGTTATGTCCTTGCAGCTCGCTTTGGTGCTTCAACTGATGAGGTGAGTACACAATATCTTGTGCATTTGTCATGTTAAAATTAACCTTTCCTTGGGGAGAGTCGGGAGACCATGTGGAGATTCATATAGACTATTATTTGCTCCAAAACGGAGTTAACCTCAATTTCCAGTTTTAGGACATCTTCACATGGACTTATTTCAGTTCAATATTAGATTAGATCTGACCAGACATAACATCCCATACCAGACTTGGATATTAACAATATACACAAAATATCAAACAAGACCAGTTTGGAATAAACCTAATCAATAAATATTAATCGCATACCAGACAGCTCCTTAGACACCATTATATGAAACTCCTCTCAGATTTAAAATAGCATTTTTACTATTTTGAGTATTACATCAGACACAGCTTGAACTACATTGTATGGATGGGAGGTATTTTATTTTTTAATAACAAAAAAGAAGACTCAGTGATGCACCCATTAGGCGAGTTTAGAAGTGTGGAAAAGAGGCGAGGAGGAGTGGGAGAGGAAGACCCAAACATACTGTGGTTTAGAGGAGTTAGGGGTGATATGTTTTTTCTTGGATTGGATGAGAGCATGACTTTGGAGAGAGCAAAGTGAAGGGAGGGTATTAGTGTGACGGATTGATCTCTTATCATCTTTTTTCCCCTTTATCTTCTTTATCTTTCTTGTGTTTTTTATCCTTTTATCCTTTTATTATACACACACATTCTTTTTATCCTTTTTATCTTATCATTTTTATGTATATCCTATCTTTTAATATGAATTGATATCATGTATCCATTCATGTTAGCTGACCCCAAAATCTTTTGGGACTAAGGCTTGCATGTTGTAGTAAGAAAAAAGAAGAGTAACTCTGACCCTTTAAGGATTTTCTCTTTATCAGTGGCTCTCTAGAGCCAAGTAATTTCTCTATTCAGATTGCAGCCATACAGAACCTAATAAAAGGGACAAAGGTTGAGCTGAAGGAACTAGAGCAAAGAGCAAACCACACCCAGATTCAAAAGGTTTGTGTTGCTTTGAGCATGGATTTGAAAAATCTCCAACCTTCACTTATATATGTTTTAATCAGTATGATTTGATTTGTATACCCCAATTCTGTTTCTTTAAACAGCACTACAAGATATCAAAGTTGGAGCTTGAGATATCATCATTGTCAGATGCGATAACTTGCAGAATTGCTGCTCGAGACGCCTTATGAGCATAGATCATGATATGAATCTCATCCTTTCAAATTCTGCTCTCTTTTGAGTTTTGACTTGATTTTCATCAATAGAGAAATTCTTCCTTGTATTAGATTACAGGCAATTGGTTTGATCCTTACCCAATTTTATAAGGTATCAACTTGGCTACGCTTAGCTACTTAGTAGACACGTCTAACACACACATGTGTGTATTCCCAAGTACAATATTATACAGAGTAGTATTATTACCTCAGTACAAATATAGTGTACAATATTTCAAATTTGGTGAGATACAAGTGTCATAAATAATAAACTATGTACTATATGGCTTACTCGACACATTTTTTAAATACTTTTTGGTAAATTATACTCCGTATAAAAACCTGGATTCCGTAGACCAAATTAAACCTTTATATTGGAATACTTCTTTTTCTGTATATGGGATGGACGTAGTAAGAGATTGTACATTAGTACTTTGAATTGTCACAAGACCTGAGAACAATTAACAAATAGCCCGTGAGAGAAAACCCAATTACATATTTAGTTCAAGATTTCAGGCATATAGAATAAGTAAAAAGTTTACACGCGATGAACAAGATGAACACAATCCTACTTGTATACACTCCAAACTAAAAAAGTTCATTATTTTCAGCGCCTCTTGCCAGACATGCTGAAGGAAGTGACCTTCATGGGGGTGGCGACAACCAATGGAGCTTCAGGGGAGTCACTAATGGCAAACTTCTCATGCATGAATCGACTCTCAACAATGGATTCTTCCTTGAGAACTATCTTGTAGCAATAGCAGCTCTTGAGTCCTTGCTGATTCTTATAGCACTCATGCCCGGTGTCTTTCACTTGCTGGAAATTCCAAATCACACTAAACTTCCCCACAGTTGCCACCAAGTGCCGCTCTTGCTTTCCACTCTCAGTTACCTGAAAAATTAATCACCAAAATTCAGTGATAAATGAATGATACTCCGTATAATTGACCGTAAGTGCGTAACAGTCTAAAAAGGAAAGCGCCCAAATAAAAGTACGCGACAAATTACTAATTTAAAATTGCCTGCTAAAACTTTTTATCTTTAAAACCGACATGGATTTGTTTGCTGTTAGTCAAGTTACCTCAAGGCATCCTTTAAACCTGGCAAGCAGTACATATATTTTGGCATTATAGCAGACTAACTACTAACCTACAGGCTTTGCTCAAGTTTCATGAGCATCATTAATTGTCATGAGCATCATTAATTGTTGTAACAAAGCTAAATACTCCCTCCGGCCATATTTTGCCACTTATGGATATGGCACACCACACACATACAAAGAATGCATAAAAATTTCAAATCCATCACAACTCACATTATCTCATCTTACCAGCCCAAAGTCACTAGGAATTAGTAAAAGCTGTTTTTAATTTTCTTTATCCATGTTGTTCAATGAAATTCATATTTTGTGTTGAATGGTAAAATAAGGGGAAAATGATTCGAACAAAAAAACCTTCAAATGGTGAAAAAACGCCACCAAAATTCATATTTTAACACCAAAATTAAGCAACAATAACAGCAACCATCCAAAGACCATAAAGCGACAAAGATGTGTAATCTTCTTACCCAAGAGAAATGACCACCATGGAACTTGTTATCATGTCCAGCCATATGCGCATCAACAGGGGTGAGCTTCAACAATCTTGGAGCTGGAATCTTATTCCCCATCCGACCAGAAAATCCAGTTTTTGTTTTCCCATCCTTATCCGTGAACATCGTACATATGAGGATCAGATATGTATCAGTAGTCCCCAAAATCCACTTGCCATCATAAGTAACATCCACATTAGTGATAGGAGAACCAAGTCCAGGAAATGCAGTCTTTGCCTGTCTCATTGAAGTCTTAGAATACAAACGGATTTTCCCATCCAATGACCCAACAACAATAGATCCATCGCCAGTCGTTGCAAAGCATTGGAAATTTGTCCCTTTTGAGAATTGGTGTCCTTGTGACCAATTCAATACAGGTGAGCTCGTATTGGCTAATGTCTGAACCATTCCCTTCCGGTCACGCATATCCCATTGACAAAGCCTACGATCATCCAATCCCAAAAAGGTTGATTCTGAAGGATCCAATTGGGACCCTTTTGTATCATTTGTGATATCCCTCATTGTTATCTCAGTCCCATCCTTTTCAAACTTCCATTCGCTAACGATTTTACCAGTCTCGATGTCTAATTGATTCAGGCCAGTGGAATGAGGGCTACCTTCTTTTAAAGGACTCATTAGCATCATATTAGTTTCACCACGCATCAAAAGTGCCTTCTTTGGCTTTTCAGGAGTATCCCACCTACTGCCTCTATCTTCAAATCTCACATACACACCTTTGCCATGTATTCCATGGCTGAAGTTCTTTACCACTTGAATTCCTGAAGAATCCACTAGGAAGCTATTGTCCAGAGCGCCCAGCGATAGGCTCTGTATACCTCCGCCGGAAGAAGCTTCCTCGAATTCCTTCAGCAACTCGTTACTATCTCTCACAGGCGTTGCTGGGCTTTTCCCTCCCACATCAGGGTCATCCCAGATCATATCATCGGCTTCCTCTGGCTTCAGCCACCCCATAAAGTCTTTCCCATACACTTTGATTTTGTTATCATCGGTTGCTCTCAACCCATAGACATTCTCGAACAAACAGTCCTGAAACTTGGTGAGGAAACCCCTGTACTCCTCATCTGTGGGGAATTTCAACGCCCAGACTGCATTATCGATGAAATCAACCCTCCTTTGCTCCCCGAACATCTTCAACTGCAAATCAGTGGAAACTCTAGCAGAGATCTTCTTCCCCACCTTCAAAGCCCAAAATCCCTCATCTCTTGATCCTGACTCGTCCTCATCCACCTCTGCCTCGCCCCCAGTTTTGAATCTCTTTACAAATTCATAGGTGGCGAACTTTTCGCTAATCACCCACTTCGGCGTGTTACCATTAACGTGCAAGTATAGCTTGACGGCGTTTTTGCGACTCCCGCTCGGCCTTTCTGCTGAAGAGTATTTCAGCTTCAACGCTTCCAGCTTCGCACCAACGTCGTCTAGGGTTTCGCGGCTGGCCTGAGCAGGTGTCTTGTTCGGTGTGCTCTCATCCTCAGCGTCTCCGTACTGATCTTCGCTTCCACTGCCCTCGTCTTCATCGTAGTCCGATTCGTCGGACAGTTCAAGGCCTTCCCGACTCTGTGAAGCTCCCATTCTCGTATGGTTTCGGAACAATTGTGAAACTAGAAATTCCAGAAGATGAGAGAATTCGGTGCCTAGGTTTATGAAAAGGGAAAATGGGAATGGATAGATGGATGATCTCCGGAAAAATGAAAATGGTGAGATGTGAATTCAGCTGTATATCCGCGATCGGTGACGCGGAAACAGCTTTCCGGCTCGCACTTGGCGTAGATCTAACGGTGACACGTGAAACTTGGCGGTTAAGTAAATCGATCCGTTTTTAGACTTGAGAGAATACTTTCTAGGGTAACTCTACGGTGCATTTACATTGCAAAATGTTTTTAGACTTGGCGGTTAAGTAAATCGATCCGTTTTTAGACTTGGCGGTTAAGTAACTCTACGGTGCATTTACATTGCAAAATGTTTTGGTACATATGTCCATGTGGCAGTAATCTCATTAATTTATTTTATCCAAGTCTGCATTCCCGATCTGAAATAGAATAGCTGAATGGCCCCTTAGTTCTTTGTTATTTTGTTTTGTCATGTAACCACGTAACCAACCCTCCCGCAGTCCTGCAAAACTCATACTCCCTGTGGAGTATGTTCCATACGTAGAAGTATATATTTTCACAACTTTTCCAAATTTCTGTTACAATACACGATTATATTCTCAACCTTCTTAAAATTGCTCAAATTTAATACACGATAAAGTTCTGATTGAAACGGCTAATTGACTGAATTTGTTGAATTATGGAAAAAATATATACTCTATATTACGCATTTAAAATATATTTTATCAACAAAATATATATATATATATATATATATATATATATATATATATATATATATATATGAAAAATAGCTATGATGATCTCAATACTAACTTCACCCAATGCAACTTGAAAAATAATTCAACTTATCTATTTTGATTATTATATAATCCGTCACACGAAATCCACCTAAATTCCTGCAAATTCTATCTATATATAAAGTTTACTATTGTTATAGTATTATTATAATAATATAATAATTATTGTTACTTTTTTCACTACTGATATATCACCAAAATACCGCTAGTGGTATCTAGAGGGATGGGATAACTGAGAATAAATGGACCCGATTTGACACTGTTTGGGATCAGACCTGGTCCGTTTAGAATGATTAGTTTCAGGCCTGGAACCGGCCATGTCTATCATTACGCCTGGACTCAGGCGGGTCGGGCCCGGTCGGGCCTTGGAATTTTGGGAGGAGGCCTGAGCCCGACAAGTACTGAAGGCGGTGCCGGTTCAGTCCGGGTCACCCGCCCGGGTCCTGGGCTGGGCCACCCGCCAGGTCGGGTCGGGCCTAAGATTTTTTTTTTCATTCCTCTTTGTTTATACACCTTTTGGATAAAACAAGCTTCAAGTGCATTTATGTGAAATAGGAATTACATTTGTGAATTGAGAACAAAAATACAATATGAAATACAATATGAGAATAATATAATTAATTCTATCTTTCTAAGTTGTAACTTGTAACCAATTAATTAATTTGAGAAGTGCGACATATAAAAAAAATTAACGTATATTTATTTGAAATATGAACTACAAGTTTACAAATTACAATAGAGAATTGAGGGAAAAATTAAAACATGAAATACATTTTATAATAAATTGTAAAATACTTATCAACCGGAATCTGCGGCATAGGTAGAGCCACCCTCGGTTGATTCATCCATAAAGTCTTGGGATGGGGTGATGCTAATTTTTTGAGTTCTACGCTTGACCTTCAACCAATCGTGGTAGCATATAAGCGTCTCAAGAGATTCTGCGCTCAAACTCGTTCTAGATTGGATTAGGACGTTCCCGGCCGAACTAAATTCTTGTTCCACGACAACTGTTAAAACCGACATTGATAGCACTTGCTTAGCCATCCGTACTAAAATCGGGAACATTCTTTCTTTTGACTTCCACCACTTTAGAACGTCAAAGTCCTCATTTTCATCAAACTCAACCTCGTAATTTATATACAAAGCAATCTCATTAACTGTTTGTTTAGTAGCGTGAGTTGTTTTAGTGTTTTCATAAGATTGCCAAATGCAGATTTAAAAAGTGATTTTCCTTTAGATGAAGATGTTTGTGTCGGGGGAGGGGGCGCGTTGGCATATTGTGCATGAAATTCATTAAATAAGGAATAAAATAAAGTACTAACCTCGTTGTATTCTACTTTCGGTTCTAAGGCCTTATCGTCATACGTAGCCATTGGACCAAAAAAAGCAAGATAATAGTACTTGAAACATTCTTCCAAATTAGCAAGTCTAAAACGAGGATCGAGAATAAATGCAATACCATAAATATGCGGAATATGTGCATAATATTTCAAAAACTTTTCCTTCATAAAACCACAAAAATAACTCATGTAATCAACATCTTCAAATTGTTGAAAAACATCGGCGAGATTAACAGCTTCACGAATAAAATGATTTGAGGTCCGCTCATCCCCTTGAGGCCTCGTCAAGTCCACAGCCAGAGCAAGTGGAAGTGCATACACTCTGCTATAGGGTTGCAGCTTTAGGCTTTAGCAGACCATTTCTGCAAAACAAACCCATTGGTAATTGACTAATACTCCGGAGTCCGATTTTGTTCACCCCCACTAAGGAGGGTGAACATCACCTTCACCCTTCAATTCATGCCATTTGGCATTACATTTCCCTTTTTCCTTAAAATTGTTATTACTTTTTAATTTCTAATCAAATTTTCCAAAAAAATATATCAAATTTAATAACTTTTTATGATCGTTCCAATGATATCCATATTGCATACAAAAAAATTAAAAAAAAAACAGTTTTTTCTTAAGTCTAATTTTAGCGGGTTTTTATTTTTTATTTTTACATATGTAATATTGATATCATATGAAAAATCACAAAAAATTAAAAATATTGATATATTTTTTAAAAAAAATTGAACCAAAAATGAAAAAGTTATAACAATTGCTAAATTTTACAGAATTGACATGCCATGTGGCAGCCAAATAGGGTGGGGGTGATGTTCACCCTCATTTGAGGAGTGAACAAAATTGTTGTCAATACTCCGTATAAAGTTAGTTGTTCATGAATGTCTTGGTCAGTTTGATACCCTCAAATCAAAACACAGTCCAAGCATAAAGAAGGTCAAAAAACCATTATGAGAAGTTATAACTTGAGTCTCACAGAATAAAACTAAAACTTAAGTTCAGTATAATGAGAACCATTACACTTCATAACAGAAAAAACTCAATAGAAAAAGTGGTTGCATTAGTTTTATACCTGGTTCTCATAACTTCATAATAAATTATAAAGTATAAATAAGTAAAAAAGAAAATTTGAAAGAAAGGAATACAGGTTTTTAAAATACGGAGTATAAAACATGCTAGAAAAGAATAAAAAACTAAAAGAACTTCATAGACAGAAATGAGAAATAATGATAGAGATTTAAGTGAAAAGCTAGAAATAAAGAAAGAAGAAATAAACCATACATATATACCATACTTTCAGAGCAAGGAAAGAGAGATACATTGAAATTTGCTTAATGCTATTACATACAAAGATGGTGCCCCAAATTTTTATAGCCATGATCCAGGAGCTCATTACCAGGTTGTGTAGGTTTCTGCAAAAAAAAAAAAAAACGGCCCATTGCTCATTACCAGCTCATTGCATGCTCTTTGAATCTGTAGTGGTTCTCTTCATTCTTTCTATTATTACTAGGAACAGAACGAAACTCATACCCTAAATTCAGCTTCTCCTCGGCCACAAAAACTGTCTTCTTCAGAGAAGGGTACTGAAAACTGAATGAAGCCATGTCGTTTCTTCTCCAGCTTGAGAACACCTTGCAAGCATCAAGCCATGTTTGAAAAATCTTGCTTCCCCCCATTAACGCTTTCTGCGGTAGGAGTAACCCAATGCCCAGCCCCAGATTCAACCAATGCCCAATACACTATTTTCTTTTCTGGGGGATTTGATTCTTTTACCAAATGGCCTTTTCATAGAACCGAACCGCACTACATTTGGACTACTACTACTGCTGCTACTAGCTCGTGAGCTACTGTTTTCTGACCAGAAAGGCGAATGAGGTGCTGGTAACATTGCAGCAGCAGCACTGAAATTAAAGAGGTCAGGGTGGAGATTAATTTTGCTATAGCCTGCTGCTGGGCTTGATGAGACTGCGTAATCATCGTCCAAGCCACACAATACGTCAACAATTCCAAAAGAGAATGCGCCGGCGCTATCTCGTGAGAATTCTATCTTTGTCCTCTCCTCACCAGTCACCACTGTCCGGTTTTTGCATATTGGAGGAACTCCGCCTAAGAAAATCCTCATCATCATCCACTGTTGTATGGGTGAAGAAGTAATCTTCGCTCCTGAACAAGTTCTAGTTGTTGCTAAAAATGATATTTCCCGTGAGATCATCTTTACGAGTTTCTGATGGACGGGGGAGAACTGGAGAAGCACCGTTGTTGGGCCTAGACTTCCATCCAATGTGCAGTACTTCTCAAAAATACAAATCCATCTCCCCACATCAAATCACCCGACTTGATCTCAGAGAAGTGAAGCAAAAGGGAAAACCAACAACCATTGCATAAAACCAATCATTTTTCTCTATAAATCTTTTCAGGACCTCTGCCGGATTCTTTAGCTTCTTCAGTGTTATCGTTCATTTGATTACTACCACGCACATCAATACAACTATATTTAGATTCCGATATTCAACCTTTTTCTTAACCACAACTTAATACCTATTACTGACTCCATCCCTTAATTGGAATAATGGTAGTAACAAAATGAACAGAATGAAACATGAAATCAAGACACGGACCTCGTGTCCCCTGCTTTGGATTAAGCCGAAGTTGTTCCGAAGTGGATTGAGCCACTACCACAAAGTAGCAGATATGCGACGTTATGGATGACTTTCGTTTATCTCTCCCACGTTCTTTGCTTTCGCAGCCGACAGAAGACTCCAGGAGTCCATGAGCTTTCATCTCTGGCCCTGGCTTCGCTTTTGGAGAAGGGCTTCTATGCAATAAACGGGTTTTTTTAATTAAAATAATGAGTTGGATTAAATGACGAATGAGATGCTGCCAACAATGAAACGCACCGAAACATCCCTCAACATAGATGTACCGTAAAATTTTCCTACTTTCTATTCATCAACAATATTTGGTGAATAAGGAGTAGAACACATTTTACGATCTTTGGCACGAATTTTACGGAAAAATGAGGTGTATATTACAAAAAGAGATTATTCAACAAAAATATATTTGGTTATGTTTTTAGATGAAAATACTATTGTAAACAAGTAACTGGACAAAAGTCATATAGCGTATTTCAGATTGACTAGTCATTGATAGATGATGGTGCTCATTAAATGTCTAAACATGTCACTTTTTTAGAAAATTTTAAAACAAATCATATTTTTATCTTTTGAATTTAATTTAATTTAATAATATTCAAAGACCAATTTCATGCCGCAAGTTAAACCATAGATAAAAATGTACTCCCTAAGTTCCAAGACAAAAATAAATATCACAAACAAAAAACATTTGCCTAGTTCGATAATAGAGTATCATACACTAATCACTAATGTTTCAAATCCTTTTTCTTTTCTTTTTTAAATAATAAAACCGGTTGAATTTTTTTAAAATTCCTCTACACGTCAGATTTAAACTCTTGGGATATGTGGATAAATGTCAAATAGACTTTTATACTATGTTAAAAAAATTAATTATATCCTTGAAAACATTCAATCAAACTATCCAACTTTTAAAAAATGTTCAATCAAGCAATTTTTTACACGTAAACTACCTGTTGTCCGGTAACCTGCACACGTGGCGAGTCGCATGAATATTTCTCTTCCCTTTCCCGTTATATGTTTCTTTCCTTACTCGTCTGCAGCCGAGTCCAAGTTTGTAACATTGTACACCATTTTTTCGGTGGCTAGGAAGGCGGCAATGTCAGACTAGAATGGTTCTTTTGGAATCTCTGAAAATGAAAATTCCACCGTTTTCGTGGAAATATATTTTCGCGTATCTTACAGCTGCGGATAAGATGAATGCACCACACTTAATTGTGTGTTTCCGTCCAAAGCCCGCTTGTCAGCCCTGCAAAAAATCTAACAAACAATCGGTTGATTCCACTTGTGAGTTCGAACCACTAAAGGCCAAAGGGAAGTCCCCCCTCCCGGAAGGAAGTATAGTTCGTAGAGAACTCGTCCATTTCGACAACAATGACACAAAAGAGAATCGGTCTGATTCTGCTGCGGCCGAGTGCCATCCACAGTGATCCACCGGATGTCTGCATCGATGGATTTTGTTGATTCAATCGGCAAGATCAATGCAGTGTGTAACATCCTAAAAAAAATAAACATTTTAAAACCTGAAAATAAAAGTAATTGTATATAAAGAATCACAATTCGTAAACAAATTAAAAATTTGTACATTTGATGGATAAGTAAATATGGGTAAATGGGCAATATATATATATATATATATATATATATATATATATATATATATATATATATATATATATATATATATATATATATTGTGTGTGTGTGTGTCCAACTGGAAAGGAATGAAAAAAAAAATGATCGTTCTAAAAAAAGATAATAATGATACATCAATTAAGTAAATTTAAACTTCATAAGACAAGAACTAGCCGGTTATTCCTCCGTAGTAGGAAAATTCTACAAAAAAATTTGATAAGATAATAACACTAATAATAAATTAAACAAAATAATAAATTATTAAATTAATAAATTAAATTAGAAGGGCACGTGGCTAAGAACTAAAACATTGGACAAAGGAAAAGCTATATGTGGCTTCACCTAGTTGTGGTAAATTCATATCATGCAAAAGGAACAAATCAAAAATAATATAATAATAATAATAAATAGCATCAATAAATATGGAACAAATCCAAAGACCTTATACACTTGGCAAAATCTGCATGCTTAAGTGACACTCGGCTCTCCACTCATGAATAGAACAAAAATTGCATGCTGCATATGAATATGCATGCATAAGAATACAAACGGAGTAGGTAAGCTAATCAAACTAATAAATACACATATAAATGAAAGGGATAAATACACATAGTGAGTAGTAGGTTTCTTTGACGGCAGTGAGAAAATATTTGAGAAATACTTCTCTATATATAGTTAGCAGGCAATGTTGTGAACAAGAAAAGAATTAGAGACACGGCTAAGAGAAAAGAGGAAAGGAGAGGAGAGGATAATAAAAGGGTTGGAACAAAAGAGAAAATCTTACTAAAAGTCTACGGTCTGTGTTCATTCCTTCTCCTAATTTTTAATGATATCTTATATTCTAAAAATTTATAGTTATTGATGTGTAACTTCTTAATTGGTTTTATTGTTTAGTTATATTACCCTGTATTTTGTTTCTCTTATGTTATTTAATTACTCCATTATGCTCTACTTAGATATTGATATACTATTGCTTTGAATAAGCTTTTATATTTCAAAAATCAACTTTATAATGAGGAAACAACGTAATTAACATATTAAATAAAGATAACTTATAACTATATATTATGATTATAACAAGTTAGAATTCGAAATTAGTAGAAGGATTAAGAGAAATCATGTACGAAGCTAGCTTAAAATATACGAGTATATTAAGATAATGAAAGTGGATTCGAATTCATCTTTGAAATACTGAATACGTATATGTATTAACAATGGATTGGATTAATTATTATAAATATTATGAAGTGATTTATAATCAATTATATACGTACATGTTAAGTTTAACTATATGTGTATATGCACTAATGACTTACGTTTGAATACTATTAAACGAAATGATAGGGAATTTAGCCCATCACATAAATATCTTTAGTGGATTATAATGATATTAGGGAAAGTTCCCGAAATAGGACTAAAACAACTTGAAAATTCCAAAATAGGACTGTCATGTTTTTTATTCCCAAAATAGGAGTAATTACTGCCAAGTTTGGAAAATACTGTCATGTTTGAAGTCTGTTACTGCCAAAACATGACAGTAATTAGTCCTATTTTGAGAATAAAAACATGACAGTCCTATTTTGGAATTTTCAAACCTTTTAGTCCTATTTTGGGTAAATTCTCATGATATTATTGTGAATTAAGAAATATTAGTTATATTAATACTAATGACACGTACAAGCTAAATTTGAATAACTAAAAATAATGGAATTCGAAATCTTGTTTCTGGATTCGGATAGGTTGGCATGCCAATAGGGATAAAAACACGGCCGTAGAACTTGATCAATGATTTCGGGTCCGTAGCCACCGAGTGGACATCACCCAAATCTTGATATTTGACACGCGCGCTTCTATACGGGTCCGTAGCCACCGAGTGGACAACACCCAAATATGTTCATTACGGGTCCGTAGCCACCGAGTGGACGGTACCCCACGAACCCTGGCCAGAGCCACCGAGTGGTCCGTGCCAAAATAGTTCTCTGATGGTCCGTAGCCACCGAGTGGACAGTACCAAAGATGAGAAGGTCCCGTTTATCCAGTCCATTAAACTAAGGAGTAGAATTCCAGAAAATCAATAAAGAATGAAAGTGTGAAAACGAGCAAAAATGACAGAGAACGAAATGAGCGAAAGATGAAAATTGAGCAGATGAAAGTTAAAGTGAGACAATGAGTAAGTGGAAAGGAACGTTGAATTACAACTATGATACTGCTCAAGTGAATTTTGACTTTGAAATAAGGCCACGTGATGAAAATGGAAACACAAAGAATGGATGGAAGAATGATATGAATATAAAAATGAAACAGATAGAAGAATGTAATCTTATATTCAATTGAAGCACTGGGTTTTATTCATGAATTATTGAGTCTGAAATAATCTAATGTTGAATATGAGAGACAACAAGATAAAATAACCGATTAAATAAAGTTATGATTTTTCGTTTAATATCTTGATAAGAAAGGTATATTTATATCGCTCTATATGTTACAAAGAAAATTACGAGACATTAACAGCTCAATTAAAAAATGATATTTTAATCAGGATGTTATACAATTTTGAAATATATATAAAAATAAATATTTTGAACAGAAGCTGCTACTATACGAAGTAATAATGCATATTAAATTTGGTTTATAAGCTAACAAGGATCGATCTGACTTAGTTGTGATTATAAATAAACTTTTGAGATTTCAACGAGTTGTTTTTTGTATATTATTACTAAGTGAAATGAATATTTAGGTACGTGAAATAAAATGTATTCTTTTGACAAGTCAATGAGTAAAAAATTTCATTTCAGAGAAATTTACGATTTCAATGCAATTTATATTTGTTTTTAATTAGTAGTTTGTTACGTCATATTTTATATTGAGATTATGGAGAAAGAATGAACACCATTAAGCAAGATTTGCTTAGCGCGTTGGATTTTGTCTTTCGCGGAGGTACATAGCTAATACGAGCCAATGTTCAAGGAGAAAAGCATTTGGGAGCAACCTGCCAATCAGCACAGAGTCACACTTGCATTTAATGATATTTTATTTCTAATCTGCATCACTCATATGTAACTCATATGTAGTCAGCATTCCAGTAGAATGTAATAGCAAACACTTAACTTTTTAAGTGTTACATGTAAAATATGGATGCTTCCGTAATTATTTATTATTATGAAATTACTATTTCCTTAAAGTTACTATCATTAGCTATTTAAAAATATAAGTATTTCTAGAATGGTCAAAAAGATAATGAAAAGTTAGTTTGCGCTTTGGTGCTCCGGCATTGCGGGTAGCGCTCCCTGCTCGAGCCTTCCGGGCCGGGTAGGGGGTGTTACACAGTGAAGGCCAAAGGGCAACCCCCCCCCCCCCCCCTCTGGCGGTAGTAAAGGTCGAAGAGGACTCTCTCCTCCGATAACAATGACGCAAAAGAAAGGAATCGAACTGAAGAAATATGGAGGAAATCGTGGAAGAAAGCCAACAAAAAAGAAAGAAAGAAAGAAAGAAAGAAAGAAAGGAGTAAGAAGTAAGAAGGAAAAAAGGAAGAAAAAAAATTACACGGGTCGCCACGTGTGGTAAAACTTCAAGGATTTAAATGAGTATTTTTAAAGTATGAGGATCAGATCTAATTGACCTTTAGAACATAATACGGGGCCTATTTGACAATTGTTTGTAATCTTTATTTTCTTGTGCCTATAAACTTGCAATTTTATGTAGTACTCTCTCCGTCCCGTTAGAAGGTTCTCACTTTCCTTTTTTGGACGTCCCATTAGAAGGTTCTCATTTCCATTTTAGGAAACAATTAACAATTTTAATTTGCAAATTAGTCATTAAATATTAAAAATAATAAATTTATAGCATCACAGTTATCAATACTAACACATTCTAATATATACGTATTAAAATTATTTCTCAAAATATACCCGAAGTATTTTATTTAATTATCACCTAAATAACCGTGTCGTTTTGTCATGGGAACCTTCCAACGGGACGGAGGTAGTAACTAATATTACTCCATCTCACTGAGTGATGGAATTCCGACCAGGGGGTGACCGGAAAGCCGAGTAAAGAGATGTAAAGTGCTGAGTAAGATTGACAAAAAAATTGGGCAGCACAACGGCAGCACAACATCAAGTTTGCACTAAGAATTTTCGGATTGGAATCCTTTTCCACAAGTTGGAAGGTAATATTTATACTATGAAGAAAATACTTGTCCAACTAGTAAAAATATGTTATTCTATTGTAGTGAAGACACATGTATTACTTGTCTAACAAGAAGAAATGTACTTGTCTTATCGTGTGGCAACACGTGTAAAGTTGATTGGAGATATATATTGGACAACTGGCTGATTGGTACAGTGTGTAACAGGTTTGTCCTTTGTGTGTCAAAATGCATGTGCACGCCCATGTGTGCTTTCTAAAATATTATGTGTAGTAACCGTCAGGGTGACGCGACCCTTGGACGGTTGTCACGCTGGTGACGTGGTCGTAGTTATGTGCGATGCTTCACCCTTGAAATGTCTAAGTCCACAACTAACTGGCAAGACACCGAGCTCAGCAGATGAGATTGAGTTCGGTTCAACATGCTTATCATGAAGGGAGCAACCTCGAATTGCTGTTTGTCGGGTGTAAGTGATTCATTTGTTCTGTTTGACCTCCAGATGCGCTAGTTGACATCGAGCCCGGTTATGACTCGGGATTTGACACTGACCTCAGCGAGGGTCGACCTCGGTCTCGGAAGCAGTTTTGACCTTATCCCAATAATTTGAGAGTTGAATGTTGGACCGACCTCGAGTGGGCCGAGCTCAGCCTAGGCAGAATAATGACTTGGAGTTTTCAGAAACTTCTTTATTCGTAAAAGTTGTTATCCCTGGGATATATGAGAATATACACCCTCTGTCCCTTATAACTTTACGAACTTTCCTTTTTTGAATGTCCCAACTTTGCCACTTTCCCTTTTTAGTAAAGAATTTGTGGTTCCAGTTACTTCTCTCTCCTCTGCACAAAGTCACAAACTTCAACCACACAGTTTTTATTTTATTAATCCTCGTACTGATCAAAGTTGACAAAGTTATTAGAGACGGGAAGTATCATTTTAAAAATGTGTTAGACATGTGGCATTACAATGATTGTTACTCATATGATCAATTTATGTTGGTCATGTGACTTGATCTTATTACTGGTATACTCCGTCTCACTAATTTTATGATTGATGGCGGACAGATCGAATGTGGGTGGCAATGTGACATGATGATCTATTTTTTATTCATTAATACGTAGTATCAATTATTGATTTCGACTATCAGATCTAAATTTTGTTCAAAGACAAATGCATCAAGTTCACTTTCACCATTTATCTGAGAATCTAATGGTAAATAATAATCATCATAAGAATCAAAATTAAGTTCTAAACATTTTTTTTATACTCCGTATGATTCAACGGCTGAAATTAATATATGTTGTGAAATTATGAATCCAAAGAATGGAATCATAAGCTTCATAAATTAATAAATTAATAGGGAAAACTGTCAAATAGGTCCTCGAACTTTCATAAAAAAATCAATTAAGTCCTTCTATAAGAGACTCTGTACCGACTGTACGGCCGTCGCGATTTGAGGCGGTTCCCAGTGGAATTTTTTGATGAATTATTTTTAGCATCTTATGCATCAAATCTAGTTTACTCATACCAAATTTCAGCTAAAAATTCAACTGGGAACGCATTCAAATTAATTTGAGAACGCAAAAATGCGCAGTTATCTTCAAGAATTAATTTGAATGTGTTCTCAATTGAATTTTTAGCTGAAATTTGGTATGAGTAAACTAGACTTGATGAATAAGATGCTCAAAAAATTTCATCAAATAATTCCACCGAGAACCTCCCCAAATCGCGACCGCCGGAAAGAGCCTCTTATAGAAGGACTTAATTGACATTTTTATGAAAGTTCGAGGACCTATTTGACAGTTTTCCCTAAATTAATATGAACACTAGTCTACATCGGTAATTAATGACTTTGAAATAATGAAATGCCACTTTAATTTAAAAGCATTCCACGATTCTCTTAGACCTGATTTGCAAAAAAAAAAGGTATGGTTGGCGCTAGACTTTCTTTTTATAAAGGCACCATACGAGACCTTCTAATATGGTTGACACTAGAACTGAAGACTAGAATCTAAATTAGAAACTATTCATTTATCAGAAAGACAGAAATTATTGTCTGGAATTGCATTTTGAAGTGTTGAACCTGAATAACCAACTGAATGAGTAGATCTGTTTTGTAAGAAGAGCCGAAATAGTATACAAATAATATGAAAATACAATAAAGGACATATGATTTATTAATATAACAAAATATTTTGCATATTTTTTTTCGTAAAATTATTTTTCATTACGAATAGTTGTTTGACTGTGTCACATATATTTGTGATGCACTCAACAAACACAAAACAACTAAAAGCTATAATCAGTAATATAAATGAATAAATAAAAAGTGGAAATGAAATTGCAAGTATATTGTCTGTACAAGTGGTGGCAAGAATTCATAATGATGGGTTGAGTCAAAGAAGAAAGAATTCTGCTTGGGTACCCCAATTTGTACCACAATCTGTACACAGACATTTAGATAGAAAGTCATGCCTTCTTTCAAACGAATTGTCTGTGTACATAGATAATTCAGGGGTAGGTACAAAATGGAGTACATTTTGGGCTACCTATAGAATTTTTTATGAAGACCTCACTAGGAGATGTTTCTAAATATGTCGGCGTAATTGATTAGAAAAATATGGGTATAATTAGGCTATGTTTGGTACAATTAGCTGAAAAGATCTTTTTGTGAGCTTTTTAGTAACTGTTAGCTTTTAATGACTGAAAAGATCTTAAAAGTAAAAGGTGATAGCTGTTTGGTAAAAAACTGACTGTTTGATTTAGTTCTGTTTGGCATACAAGCTGTTAGGATTTATTAAAGCTAAAAGTCACAGACTTTTCTCAGATGCTACTACCTGTAGCATCTCAAAAAAGAGCTTTCATTTTTTGAAAAGCTCTTAAAAATTGGCGTGCCAAACAAACAACTAACAACTTTTAGAGACTTTTTAAATAGTACAAAAGCCAAAAGCTATAGACTTATATCAGCCAAACATAGCCTTACTAAGTAAAGTCTGCAATTATAAGTGCTGAAGTAAACGCTAGTGACATCAACGTTTCACAAAAGCTAATATTTTCCCCCTTTGGCCACTTTCAGCCACTTTCAGTACTCTTTTTTACGGAGTATATTTTATATATAGAGCCGAATTTTTGAAAATTAGGAAGTACTTAGAGTTTTTTTGTGCAGATTTCAAAATCAACATTAATAATATAAGTACAAGTAATTTTTGCTCATTATACAATCAATATCATATACCTTTTCAATATGCAATACAAGAAATTAATCGCAACCCCAAAACAGGATCTTAGCGCACCATTCACAAGTAACTTTTTCATTTGTCAGTCAATTTTTTCTTTTTTTATCTAAAGGGGGAGATAGGAACCATTCGCAGTATTGAAGTGTCAACTATTTAGAGGGAGAAGAGCCAAAAACCTACAACAACAACACAACTAGTGTTAAACCAATCTTCCAACAAAGGCTGCTGGCTATATCATGTAAGTAAGGTGTCAGAAAACACATCTCCCAACTAGTCTTCATCTTCTGAATCTGCATTACATAGGAGTATATTAGTTTCTGTTCACACTGCAGCATATTAGGACAAATGAATCACAAAAACTTGAGGAGCTCAACCTGTGAGACCAACATCTCTTTTCAGCTCAAAACTAATACTTTTGTTTTAAAGAAACCATTACTTGGGAAAACAGACATTTGAGTGCTCTTTAAGTCTTTTCTAATATGATGGTCTTTAACTTGAAAGTAATTAGATCTGAACAGCAAAGTAATTTGAAGAACAAACACCCTTTGGTCCAAAAACCATCACATTTCATAATGCTTTCAAAAAAATTTGTTTTGACAAGCGGTATTTTAGGAACAGTCACTTTTAAGACACCAACTACCAAAATGGCAGTCAAAACATATACAGATTGATGCCAAAGAAGGAATGATGATATGATGTGTAAGTTAGTCCTATAAATTTACCAGATCGTATATCTTCTCCGACATGTCCTCTATTTTTCAGCTGTCTTATGATCATTGAACATATGAGAATCCACCAGTAGATGTGGAAGACAAGGAGGGTTATTAACATAGTATTGAAGGCATAGTATAGTAACACGTGAGACGCCTCTGACAGCCTCAACACCTCTATCATGTAATAACTGCAAATACAGACAAAAATGCAATTTAGAGTTTCAAGGACATTAGGGGAATATTAAAACCAAATGACGAATGTATCATTCAAAACAAAGATTACGCTGTCCCTGATAACAGACATACCTTGAAGACCATATGACCCAAAATGGGAAAATAACTAGCCGTAGAACAAGCCAAGAAATTGCAAACAGTCCAAAGAATAAGCTGGCTCCAAATTCCTTCCCGGCGTATTTTAACACTTTTGCAGCTTCCATAAAGACATCACTGGCATCATGAAGTGCTAAAACAACTGCTCCAGGTCGAAAGAACCTGTGAAAATGGTGCTTTGTAGTCAACATGCCATACATTCACTCTTTCAGGCATCTTGTAGATAGAAGTATTTTAAAAAAGAAAACATTCCACTTTTGGTCACACATGTATTAAGCCATTTTCACTTTTGGTCCTTAACTATTATTTCTTTTGACTGTGCGAGGGAGTGTGAGATTACGAATTTCTTGACACTTGCAGTCCTTACGATCATTTATGCAGCAAAAGATCAACTAAAAATTGGCAGGATACGTAAACGAAAGGGCCAAAAGTAACAAGAAATTCAGAGCTGTACAGTAAAATTGAAAAACATTAAAGTCGAGGACTGAGTGTGGAAAATTTTATGTACTAATTAAATCTTTAGTTAGTACAAAACTCTGGATTTCAACAATCCCAACACAATCAGCCTAAGGAAGCGGTCTATAAGCCATCTAAATCTTGATTGCTCGGAGAAGCATTTATCAATATCAATACGAAGTAACTTCAAAATAATGTGTGTCTCATAAATATATACGTGTTTCATAGAATCTCAATCTCTTCTAATTAAATCTTTAGTTAGTACACAACTCTGGATTTCAACAATCCCACCACAATTAGCCTAAAAACTTGTGAAGCGAGTAGAAGATTACCTTGTCATGTATGAGCCTGAAATAAGCATGACAGTAATTATATGATGAGACATCATTACAGAAAAGTCTTTACGTCGAGTTTCCCAGAAAAGGAGAGCAGCAATGCTATACATATAGAAACCACATTGGCACATATACACAAGTGCAATGGCAGGCCTGAGACATAAAATGCAGCATTTTAAAACCCAATGATGTTTCATAAACAAACAAAAAAACAATGAAGTCTTACATACGGAGTATGTGAGAAAAGACACAAAAGGGTTATGAAAGACTGAAAGTTAAGTCATATAAAGACCACATCTTTTTCATCGGCTCTTGCATACATAAATAAGAAATAAAATGTTAAAGCAGTCTATCAAGAAAATAGTGGATGCATTGATTGAAAATATTTCCATAGGGAGACTCCTCCCGATAATCTGATATCACAATAAACAATCGTTGTACACTAGATATTCATTGTCTACTTGTCCAGAATAAAAGATTAATAAGAGTAAAATGTGTGCAAGAGGTAGTACACTCACTGAAGATCATGATTTGGCCAGCCTCTGATATACTGCTTATTGTCTAGAAACCAGGGCTGATCATAGATGGCTCTTAGGACCCAAAACTCAACAGTGGCATAGTATGTTAATTTCCACATTGATTCAGAGCATTTTGCAACTTTGGCTCTTGTAGCCTGGTTCATCCTCCCATTCATAGATCCGTTTCTCACAAGCCAAATCGAAAGCCTCTGGTAAAGATGTCAACAACTGTAAGAACTGATAAAACGGATGCATCTGAAAAGTGAATCTGGTTTGGCGGTTTAACTATAGCAATTGTTATGCAAAGCTGATATATTAACATAATTAGAATATAATTATAAGCCTTACGTCCCATAGTAATGCTTCTAATTGGTAGTTTGAACAGTTAATCAGTTGTATGAAATAAATAGCATAAAAATCTTACCAAGTTCCCTACACTCAATAAGAAGGTATGATTGCAAAGTGAATTGGTTTTATTACAAATTCATTTGTTCGCAAGGATAACTTTTACAGTTTACAATCACTCTCAAGAAGCAGGTAATCTTGCAAGAGTCGCAAGATATTCAAGCTTCATATTTTCATCAACTCCACACAATTAATAGGTAAACAATGAACTGAACTTCAGTTTTCAAGAAAAATGAATGAACTTATTATAAATAAGTCATCGTCACCTAAATCCCAACGAACTGAGTTGGTATTATGAAAGTTATAGTGCCAATTGATTAACTAAAATTAGTTAGAACTGCAATTCTTGCAATAATTCCACATAAATTTAACGAAATGATTGAATTAATAAATGAATTACGAAAGTGAAGCTCATCAAGAAAGCATCCATTTCTCGTAATAAGCATCTACAGAAGATACGCAAGGAAATAGGCTTACACTAAAGATGAATTTGTCGAGGAGGAACCTGGCGGCATAGCTGGCAAAAGCGAAAAGAATGGCGAGAAAGAAATGCGAAAAGCGGGGGACGTCATTGTGAGGCAATATCATTCCCATCACAGAAGTGGAAAATCCAACCCTCTAGTAACACTGCAATAATCTCCTCAATCAAAAACTAAGCTCAATCGCCACCGTTCCAAGGAGCAGCAGATCATCTGAAAAATTAAAACCTGCCACGCTCCACTATGATTTCCGCTGCTTCTGGAATTGACGCTAAGTTGAGATGGGGGTGGCGGGTAGAAAGAGGAGAAAAGGGTAGCAGAACGGAGGCGAAGATGCTGTGAATGGCGCCGGGGTAGGAAGTTTCTAATTTCTAAGCCTGTGGCATAGATTGGTAACTACTTTCTCCCTTTGAGAATACACACAAGCGTTCAAGGGCATGTTTGGTAAGACTCGTTGCAACAATGCTGAGTGAGAATATATTTTTAATTGGACTAATATTTCCTGCTGGTCTAATAGATGCTCAGTCTCTATGTAATTTACAATTATTGAGGTTTAGTTTAATCTGATCCGGTCTGATCTAGTTTGATATGAGTCTGAAATAAATCTAATTAAAAACATTCTCGACATATTCATATTCATCCATCAGGCATACAGTTTTTTATTTATTAATTAAATCCTTATTTTTGTTATAAAGCATCATTTTTGGTCATTTTTTTGCGAATAATTGTGATTAAACAATCAAACATTTGAATGTAAAAATAAAAAATTAGAATTTACTTTTTTTTTTGTTATTTGAAACCGTTTTTTTTTAAAGTTGAAAGATATAGAAAAATAATTAGGAAATCTAAAGTTTAGCACTGGATCAATTTAGAGAAATGTTGGGGCTAATAAATCCAACAAATGAAAGTTTTGATTTTTTTTTTAAATTTTATATATGTAATATTGATATTGATGCCATATAAAATATTATAAAAAATTATAAACTTTGATGTATTTAATGTAAAAGTTGAAATACAAATAAAAAATATTACTCCGTATAATTTTTAACAAAAAAAAGGTTTTCACCCTAGGTCCCAAGTAGGGGTGGACTCGGGCCGGGCGGCCCGCCCCAGAACCGGCCCGACCCGGTCACTGTTTGAACCGACCCGAACCGTCGGCCCGGTCAGAGACCGGTCCGGGTAGGCCCGACCCGCTGGGGTTCCGGGCCAGGCTTGGGCCCCTCAAAAGGTGAACCGTCCCGGCCGGTTCGGGCCCGGTCCGAGCCAATTTATTTATTTATTTATTTTTTTTTTTTTTTAAGTTTTTGGGTTGGGCTGGGTATTTTGGGCCATTTGAGGTGGTTTGGGGGTGAGAGGGGAGGGTTGGGGGTTAATTAGGAAAAACCAAAAAAAAAAATTAAATTGAACCGAGGCCCGGCCCGGCCCGACCCGGACCCGGGGGTTACCCGGGCTGGTTCCGGGCCTCCCCTTTCATGAACTGAGGCCTGGCCGGGCCCAGGACCGAACCGGGCCTGAGTCCACCACTAGTCCCAAGACTCTTTTCTCTTCCGCGTAACCTTTTCTCCTTTCTCGATGCATTCCTTCTACTAGACGTCGGGGGTGAAAGAGGTGTCAAATCTCCCGCGTGTCATTCATCAACTTTGGTGGTGTTTGGAAGTGATTCTTATTCTGCTTCTTTTTTAAAATAGAAGCAGAATCAGAATCAGTTTTCAGAAGCTGATCTTTCTCAGCTTCTAAAAAATTGATTTAGGAGTAAATTAGAGCACTAGAATCACTTCTGAACTTTCACGCAAACACTCCAACTTCTGCTTCTGCTCCCTGAAGGAGCAGAAACAGTTTTAAGAATCAAATCCAAACACCCCTTTGTCACCCTATGAGTTGAAAAGAATAAATTTTCACTTTTTACCCATAAAGTTGCAAAAAGCCTAAAAGGAAGGGATACGATCATTGGGAGAAGGGAATAATCTATAATAGTTTATTAGTTTATGTGGAAAACTGGAAATTACATTCTTTCAAGAAAAACTGCATATACTCGATTTAAGTTATGACAAAATATTGTTATATAAATACGTAGTATGTTATTATTCCCGTCCCACTGATATTGGGACATGAAAATGTGGTACTGTTATTAAGAAAAATGAGTTAATATGGTTGATATTGAATTATAAAGTAAGAATAAAATAAGAATAATTTAGAACTACACAAACTTTATCAAATTTGGTATGAGATCATCTTAGTGGGATAAACCGGAAAGCAAAGATGAGACAATATTAATGGGACTGAGAGAGTATTACTTAAAATTGAGTTTATATAAAAAATCTACTGTTTTTCAATTCCACATTTAACTGATTTCACGAGTGAATGCTAAGCAAATTTTCTTTAAATAATCTACACTTCATGAAGGATATACTTCATGAAGGATATGCTCACAAAATTTATGAAAAAATCCTCCTAGCTAGTAGCCCCTCAAAGGCTCAAACGGGCTCGGTAGAACGGCTCCTAGAAGGCTAGAATTGTACACTTGTTTTACATGATAGTGCAAGCAATTAAAAAAAAGAGGGTTCATATAACATCTCCCAAGTCTATATTTCATCTCTTCATATTGAACATCTCTATCCGTAACATGGTTGTTACTAAAATTCTAGTTTTACATTATTTTAACTATTTAAGTGTTTTCAAGATTTGGTTCCCGGATAGGGCGAATCCAAGGCCTTCTTCGATTGTGGTTCAGGGACTAGAAGATGCTACGGTGGCAGGGCCGATTCTGAATGATAGGATGGAGTGGGACAGAGACTTGATTCGAGAATTGTTCAATGACAGGAGCCTTCCGGTTAGCGTGGGGGATAGCTTCGTGGATTGGGTGGCTAAATGCTTGAGCACAATGAAAGTTGATCATGGCAGAATGTTTGTGATGGCTCTTTGGAGTATTTGGCGTGCAAGAAATGCTAAGGTATGGGAGCAGAAAACTATACCAGTTAGCTGCATTGTGGCAGACGCAAATGCAATGTTGGAGGGGTGGAGTAGGGCCCAGGAGGGTGTTCACAATTCGGCGCAGCGACGGGGAAGCTCATGGAGCTGGAGCTGACCGGAGGGAAGGTAGTGACTTGGGGTTGCTAGTTCGTAACAAGGTTGGTTCTTTTGTAGCAGGAGGGGTAAGCCGGGGCCTGAGGCTAGTTGTACTCGTAAGGTTTTAGGAGTCCAAAATGTTAAATTTGAAGATTTTGGATTCCTAATGGTGTGTAGTGTGGTAGGTTAAAATTGGGTAAGTGGATTTTTTGGGAAGAAGATGGCTTAAATTATGATAACAGAACATAAGAAGGTTACAAAATGACAACAAGCCTTCTGTCTGTCGTCCGCCCTAGAACCAGACTTGGAATCAATCACCTCCGTAGAAGCAATTAGATTCACTGATCCCGCTCTTGGCTTAACTGAGCCAATGACTTGCATACCAGACTTCTCATCACCTGTCGTAGGTTCTAGAATTTTCTTGCCAGAAAAACACGGCACAACCAAAACAGAGTAAAGATCCAAATGAAAGTGAAACATGAAGAAATCTAAAGAAGCAAAATAAAATCTTGAACTCTAGCACCTCATTCAACCCCCGGCGGTGGTTCAGGAGGAGGCCGGATCACCGCTATGATTGTTGACGCGGAGTGGATTGAAGCATCAACCAATCGGAGTGGATTCCTCTTGCCCTGCCTCTTATTCGTCGTGCTCACTGCCCAGCCATCTCCGATGGAGCATCTACTCTTCCCGATCAGCCCTCCTGTTTTGCCGCTGCTCTCCGGCCATCACCTTGTTCTCGATTGGTGGCTTGGAAATCGCCCTCATCGATTGATAATTGAGTCCACACACAACCCTACCCAAATTGTACCCTTAGTGATGTTCGGAAACTCGCTGCGCCGTTGAAAACTGCTTCTAGATCACTCACTGCTACAAGAAGGAAGACCGGACCAGGTGACTGTCGTCACCGCCGGAAGAAACACCTAGGGATTAACCGACCGCTTCAAACTTTTTAAAAGTGGGTAAGTGGATAGATGATGTTAAATATATAAGGTGTGTTAAGAGGGTGGAAAGAAAAGGGAAAAGAAAACAACCAAGTTGGGTTTGCCGTGATGCTAAATCACAATTTTCTTAAAACTCTTATAACTTTTTTTATTTTTTATCCAAAGTTTTCAAAATATATATCAAAATTCATGAATTTTTATGATCGTTCATATGACACCAATATGTAATATATAAAATGAAAAAAAAAAATCTAAAGTTATAACTATTGAAATTTTCTTGAACCTAAAATAACAAGAAATACAAAATTTTAATTCATGGATCCTCCACAAATAACTTCATATTCAACAATCAAACTTTACTTGAACTAAATTCATATTTTGTTAACCAAAAAATGTTAAAAAACATTAATGAAATTTATTTATTTTTACATCAAAATGTGTATTTTTTTTATTTCATAATTATTCAGAGGAAAAAAATTTAAACGAAAACATTACTTGTAATAATTTAATTAATGTTTTACTAAATTGATATGTAAAAGAATATGCAGAGTGTATTTTTTTTACGATGTTTTTTTTCCTGATCGTATTTTATTGACGATGTTGGAATGCAGAGAAATAGGACTCAAAACATTGTTTTCATATGGACAGAGTCCATTTTTGACATTTCGGCTCTCACACCACTCCAAATGGTCTCAAGGATGCTCTCCGTCAATAGCAGATTAGCAGAAGCTTTATCAATAAGAGAGGCTCTTAGTTGGTTAAAAGAAGCTTGATGGGATTTTGTTGACGTGTGGAGTCCGATGCTCAACAAGTTATTCAAAGTATTAACTCGGGAGTGGATGTGGACATATCTCGGCTAGTTTCACTAGCATCTCATTTTCTCATGTGAAGCGCTCTACGGACCGGGTGTCTCACCAATTAGCGAGAGTCACTTGTTCTATGCATGATCGCTACATTTGGCTTTTTAATCATCCTTGTATTTTTTCCTCTTTAAACTATGATCTGATTAATAATAATTAATATTTTTCCTTTAAAAAAAGTATTTTCAAGATTTGAATAACTACCACTCTCGGATCTCATACCCCCAATACAAAAATATACTTCTTTAATTAGAGGTTACTAATGTACACCAGAACGCTTGAAGATCGAGTGCAAAGATACAAGTGTAGACTTGGTGTTAGAACATTATGTTTTTATTTTTTGTTGAAGAAGTTACATGTGTTGAACTATTGCATCAAACAGTATTTATTAGTTAGGGGTGGCACGGTCTGCGTCGGTTCGGGTAATCGATAAATTTTCAAGAACCACCGGTTCCATTTAGCGGGAAGGTTCGGTTCGGGTATACCAATTTTCAAAATAGGAATCGAACCTTACCCGCCCCGACTATGCAAGCATAGTTTCAGTTATAGAATTGTCAAATTAATTACATATAGATATAACCATAATATAGTATTTGTTCAAAATAAAAGAATAAGACAACTTATTAAATTAGTTAACAAAATATTGAACTACAAATCTTCTATAAACTAAACAACACACAATCAACTTTTACTATGCATATTTGTCAAATCTTCTATAATCATCATTCCTAAACCAATTAAAAAGATAGAACCATATATAAATTCATAAGAAATCAAACTAGTTACTATACATATTTGTCTATAAAAACAATTTAAAACTTATTAAATCTCCAAGTATAAGTAAAATTAAGACAATTAAAGTAATATGTCGCACTTCATTGAGTAAGAGTCTTTGTTTACAAAAAATATTAAAGAAAGAAAGTTTGATGCACTTGGAATAGAGAATAGAGGAAAATAGTTTAGAAGTTTAATTATACGGACTTGGAAACTAGTTTTAATAGACTGAGAAGTTTCGTTAATTGGATGTCTTTGTCTAAACACAAGAACATGAAGAGCTTTTGTGTGTTGTTAGTATATTATATTATACTAGTATTAAATATTTTAGAGCTTATTAAAATAATATTTTTAAACGGTTCAGTCCGGGTACCTGTTTTTTCAAATTTTAAGACCCGTTCGGTTCCTAAGTTTTTCGGAACCCACCCAGCCCTAAACCGTTTGGATTTTCTAACATTAGGACCCGACCCTAACCCGCCCCAAACCTGTATTATCCGACCCGACCCGCGGTTTCAGTACCCGTTTGCTCACCCCTAGTATTAGTATTCAAAAATAATAGTAAAGTAAATTTGAACACCTAAAGTTTATATGTCCGCAAGATACAATGAGTTAATTTTAAAAAGCAACTCGCCAACTCCCAATTAGGGATGGCATGGGGCGGGTTTGGGGCGGGGTACACTCCCCCATCCCCCGCCCCATGTCTAAAAAGTTCCCCCCATCCCCGCCCCATCCCCGTTACTTCCATCCCCGCCCCATCCCCGCCTGATAGAGTTGTATTTTTATTATTTATTATTTCTATTTTAACTAGTTTTATTTGTTGTTGTTGGGAAAATTACACACTTTTGGTGTAATTAGTTTATTTTCCTATATAAATGTAATTTGTTTAGATTAGGATTATTCTGAGCTTAAAACAGGTCAAGATCATCCAAAGGATCAAGATTGGACCCCAAAAGATCAAGGAAAGTGCAAGGGGACAAGATAAAAAGAAGATTGAGAAAGTATTTCATATACCCGGTCGGTTATAGGCAATACCCGATCGGGTATTGAGTTGATTCGGGTGTCAAAATCAGAATCTGGAGAGATATGGAGAGACAAAAAAACGTGCAGGATTTTGAAGATTTGACTCATACCCGATCGGGTATGCCTTCATACCCGATAGGGTATGTCTAGAAAAGTGATTTTCCGGGAAACTGCCTAAAATACCCGATCGAGTACCCTATATACCCGGTCGGGTACACCACCCTGCTACCTCCAAACACCTATAAATACACCCCTTTTCCTTCACAATAAGATCACCAATTCCTTTATACTCTTAAGCTCAGTTTAGAATAGCATTTCTTTATATTTCTCTTAGCATGTTTAGTCTCCAAATGAGGAGCTAAACTTCCATATCTTGGTGTTGCTCTTGAAGCTTGTTGATTATTAAAGTTGTGAGTTATTTTCTTAACTTCTTTTCTTGAATATTAATTCTTCTTTTAAATACTATTTCTATATCAATGTTGGGGAGTGTTGCTAAGATGACAATTAGTTAACATCTTGACATTGGTCTTAGTAATAGCTATTCCTTCCTCTATGTTAATATTGGGAAGTGTTACTAAGATGACAATTAGTTAACATCTTGATATTAACTATAGTAGGATTCATCTTCTTTAATCTTCTTCCTTGAGTATTAATTAATTCCTATTCATATTTCATATTAATATTTTGAACATTACTTAAAGGATCAACTAGTTTTGTTTCATATATTAATTATTACTAGAAACGATCAACGAACCGATGGTTAATCGTTGATGGTTTCACAAGTAAGTAACTTCGGTCTATTAATGCACGGTCGTGGTTAATAAACTTAAGAGGAATTAATTGTGTTGGTTAAACCGAAACCGTTGTGTTGAGGTTATCGATCTCAATTGATTTCATCAAGGAGTTAAGCGATTAAATGCTACTATCAAGTCGGTATATGGCGTTGTTCTATACTTGGCTAATAGTAAGGGTTATTAATGAACGGTCGTTGTTAATAACTATGCTCGATGAATGGGATATACTCCTCGATTGAGTATTCGAGAAGAGATAAGTTATAGATATAACAATGATCGACTAAAATATATCAACAAGTGGAAAGTAGCAATGCCAAGTCCTTTTTATCTTTGAATTAAATCACATAAGTCGTTCATCTTTGTGTTTAATTAATTAAATAAAAAAAATCCCCAAAACCCCCTTTTATAACTAGTTCTATAAAAAGAAAAGTATTCCTTTCCCTGTGGATACGAACTCTACTACGCTATACTACGTATAAGTGTCGTATTGAAATTTATTTTGAGTGCACACACGACAAAGTGCACGTCACCGCCCCACCCCGTTGTCCCCCACGGGTGCCCGCGGGTGTCCCCATATAGGGAAAATCGTATTCTTAGTTCCTGAAATAGTCACGAAAATGAAATGTCAGACCCGTATTTCTGATACTGTAAATGTCACCCTTTAATTGTCCAAATTGTTGTAAATGTGGTTCTTTAAGGGGTGAAATGTAATCTCGCCCACATTGTATATTTCACCCCTGAAAGGGCCACATTTATAGCATTAAGGACAATTGAGGGACGACATTTACAAACTTGGGAATATGGGTCCGACATTTCATTTTTGTGACTATTTCAGGGACTGGAAGTGCGA